TCTTGATTACATGAATTTTGGAGAGAATATTTAATTGTATTTTTTTCTTATTACTTTCAGCTTTCGGAAGTTCTGATTACATCAAACATTTTACTGAATAAATGTTCCTCTGGCAATCCAGAAGAACTTCCAAAACTCGCAATTTATTTCCTTACGTCTCTCATCTGACAATTTAGAACACTTCCTTCTGCAACCGGCACTACTACATCCAGGTAATATATTATGGCTATCATTACACATTTTTAATTTCTTCCTTTCTATCAAGCTTAATTCTATTTTCTTGCGTTTCCTGGGATTTCCTTTCTTTGTGTATTGAATTATTGCACCAAAACCCCAGACAGAGCAGTCGGCAGCGGGATTCGAACCCACAACCTTCCGAATAGCATCGGTGAGCGCATCCACTGCGCCACGTGCCTCGGTACTCTAATGAGGTACAAATACATTCTTAGCAGATTCTAAGATGTGACTTGTAGAGTCGTTGTGGATATCAACTAAATCACAGATAAGGTTGTATCTAGAGCACATTAAATGGACAGGAGCTCTTGGTAGTAAATTTGTACGAGATTGGGAGACATAAAATGCATCAAACTGTCTACTATTAACACGTTTAACGCCGCAGCGGTCCGTGGGGGCCGCTCGTAACATATCTGGTAGGGCCACGGCGGTCCCTAGGGACCGCTCAGTAGTTGCAGCAGTTTTAATTCCGTACAGGCCAGTGGACCGCTGCTTACATTAGTTAAATGTACTGTGTGGACCGCTGTGGTCTAGGGCGAATGTCGTGCAGTGTGAATTTTTGAATTTTTTGTTTTATTCATTTTTTATTCATTAAAAAAAGAAAAAATGCTGTTATTGTTTACTATTCCTAAGAAGTGATACAAAATAAGAACATTAATACGAATACGGTACAAAACAAGCTAAATGACGTCAACTAAACAGAAAAAAATTGATAAACCAATATTCATATCCTATTTGTGATTATTGGCAAAACAATCTATACAGAAGTGGGGCTGCTTATCGCAATCTTCGCAATATGTTGTCACTTTTGGTACCTTATTTTTTGTAATTAAACCTGTAAGTTTTTTTTCATAACATCCCTTGCAATATTTTCGTACTTCGTGAGCACGTCCTTTTTTTTTCTGAAATGTGTGCACATTCATTCTTTTAGACTTTTTTGCTGTTGTTGGTTGATCAATTGTTTCCTCTCCATCTGATTTTGGAAATAGCAAACTCTCTATTATGATCTCTCGAAAATCTGTAATTGACATTGTCGAGTCATTGATAGCTTTGAATAGGAAATGAGCATTTACTACCGCTGTACCTAAAAGCAGTTCTAAGGCAATTTTTCTATACCATTTCACAGTTTTGCGTAATGCGGTGCTGTAGCTAGCCATCTGATCTGACAAATCAATTGAGCTTTTTGCTTTGTTATATTCAACGATAGCCAGAGGTTTTTCAATTATACCTGTTCGTCGTTTTATTGTAGTGGTTGTGTTAGTGTGCTTAGTTGAAAGCATCAAAACGTCACGCCGGTCCTTCCACTTCATAATGCATATTCCACGGTTGTTTTCTTTTGCGATAATTTCCCCTGGTTTTAGCTTCTTAGTCACAACATCTTTGGGATTTCCTCTCCTGTTTGCCCGTAGAGTTCCGAGTAAATGAGTTTTATTATCTAGAAGTTTATTAGCAAGTTCCAAACTAGTGTAGTAATTGTCTGTCACTATGGTTCTACCAGTATTCAATAATTTTTCAGACAATTTCATAACTACATTTGTAGGAACTGAAGCACCAGCGTCTTTTTCTTTACCGCAATATAACTTTATATTCCAAGTGTAACCATTTTCACAACATAATTTAAATAATTTTATCCCATATTTATGTGTTTTTTGAGGAATATATTGTTTCATTATTAGTCTACCACGGAATGGCACAAGCGTTTCATCAATACAAAACTCTTTTCCTGGTGTATAAACATTTTGGAATTTCTTTACTAAACTATTTATGAGAGGCTCTATCTTGTACCCACGATCACCTTCTGGACAAGTTTGATTGTCACTAAAATGCCATACAGTCAAAAGCAATTCAAATCTGTTTCTACTCATGACTTCTGCTACAACGCTAACACCAAACAATCTTCGTTTGCACCAATAATGTCTTAGTGTCGGAAGTTTTACAATTCCCATGTAACCCAAAATCCCCAAAAATTTCTTTATCTCGTCTTTATTAGTTGGTTGCCAAGCATGAAGACGACTGTACTTTGGAACATCTCGATCCTGTAATAACATTTGTGTTGCATATAAATTTGTTTCTTCGGTCATAACGTTTAGAATTTCATCATCAATGAATGCAGACAAATAATCTTCTGGGGATGCACCAACTAGAGCCGCTGCTAATTCCGGGTTTATACCGGAGTTTTCAGTGAAACCAAATTCTTCGTGGTTACCTGTCGGATCTTTCCATTCCACATCAAATACCTGATAGGTGTCGTCCTCTTCATTACGATCTGAGTTTTCCACATTTGATTCTACCGGCATAGGTTCATCATTGAGAGTACTCAGTTCCAATGAAGATACATCTTCAGAAATGCTATCTTCACTAGAAGAGCTTGAACTTCTGGATTCGTTTTCACTGATAACGAAATTTGGATCTTCAAGTGAATCAGACAACGAAAAGGGATCGTTATCAGATTCAGAATCTATTTCATTAGACAATCTAAATAAAAGAGAATACCAATCGCAAAATATAATTTCTTACCGTCATTATTCACGTAATTCTGAGTAAGCTCTAAGATTCTTTGCGTACGTGTACGCATTTTCGTCTAATAATAATTGTTAAAACAATGGTAACACCACTCACAGCACACTTGTAAATACTAACGCATTGTCCTACGTGAGCGGCAACATGCGGTCGGCGCGGCGCGATCAAAGTATGATAGTTTATTGGTATTTCCTATCTAGCAACTACCGCGCTTCAGTCTTATCAACATGCGCTTGCATCAATTTATGTTCAGTGCTTGAACGTAGGACGCTCTGGTCGCGTTTGCGGTCTACGCCGCGCCGGACGCATGTTACCGCTCACCTTGGACATTGCGTTAAGTTCAACAGGCATTTGACTCGAACATGCGCAATAGGATATTTCTTGAACACGTGATGAACATGTGATGGACCGCTGTGGCCTGGACGGTTAATATTTCCGCCAGGGCCAGAGCGGTCCCTAGGGACCGCTAAATATTTTTAAACAATTTCATATAAATAAACAAATGTATCATGATATTTATAACTTTTTGCCATTATACCCGCCATAACATATCCGAAAATGCTTAAAATAGTTTTTGGCCCGATCAAAAATTTTCAAAAATTTCTCGTGGCACTCAACGTGTTAAGCCTAGACACACGAAAATTAATACATGCTAAAAGTTGAGGACAATCAGTAATATTGTTTAGTAATTTATATAAGCAAGACAAATTATAATTCTCCTAAATTCGCAAGATGTCATTTTAAAGGTATTCAATAATGTTTCATGATCAAATCCTTGACAGGGGTACGCACCAAACTGCTTTAACCATAAATATTTCAAAAATTTTCTTTGGATATTTTCAACTAAGCTTTTATAATATTTATAGTGGGGGTACCAAATAATTACGGCGTATTCCAGTCGAGGCCGAAGTAAGGTAAAATACAAAAGCTTTATAACATCTATATTATGGAAGTCTTGTCTCTTTTAAACAATTTATAATAATGTTGTGCCGAATCCCTTGGAATTCCATTTTTTGCCGTTAGAATCCATCTCCAAACAGCTTTTTTTACGTGAAAGACGCATAATAGTAATTGTGCTTCTGGCCAATATTTTTTTAAAACTTTTCTTTCGCCCAAATCGTCATCAGTCATGATAACTGCAGGACTAATTTTTGTAGGCAATATGGCTAGCATTTCCTTAACTGCAATATCAAACAGATCAGTTTTTTGACAATGGATAAAATGCATCCAACGGGTAATCCTCCGGCAGCACTTTGGACCACAAAAAAATATATTTTTTCTACAACTGTCAAAAAAACGTGTCATTTTCTGACGGATTTCGAAACGCGAAGTACTAGATTTTTAAACGGTTAATTAATAGGTAAGGTTGCTATTGACAACGTGCGCGAAATCGTCAACAGTGAAAAAAAGTATTTCGCGCACGGGAAAAAGTTGAACTTAAACAGCAATTTAATTAACAATCGGTTCAGTTGTAGAAAAAATATTGTATATAACGCTAGCGCGAAGTTATTTCGCGCATTTGACTGATATTTTAACTCGGCTTCCCCTCGTCAAAATACCTTCAGTCTCAATGCGCGAAATTGAACTTCGCGCTCTTGTTATATAAATAACTATTGTGGTCATAAGCATCGCAATTACCGGATGCGTCAACAAACATAATTTCACTTGCTTGAGGTATTTCTATGGAACGTTGCATAAGAGGTGTACATATAGCTACAGCATAATTATCATGTAAGGTTGTTATTTTATAACATAGACCTGACTTCTCTTTATGAAAAGCCAGCATTTCTTCTAACTTAAGCAGCATATTGGAACCAGTACGATCACCAAAGTCTTCTTTAAATTTCTTTTTCCACAAATTAGATACATCCGTTTTTGTTGGAATATAATGCCTATCATATAATATACCTTCATATTCATCACCCAGTTCCTCCATTTTATCCATACAATAGGTGTGATAAGCTGTGGCTGCAGAATGGCCTCTGTTAAAAAGTTCGCCTATCTTTTGCTTAGCCTCTGGGCCTAGAGGCCTCTCACGAAGGGCCTCAATGACGTTTAACCGATGATTATGTGTTGATTTAAATTCTATCAGACACGGATATTCTTCTGTTGTTATAGATGGTTTAGTAGACTTAGACAATTTAAAACTTTTTTTGATAGTTATAAAAACCTTTGCAGAACAATCAATATTTCTTGATTTTTTTTTTCTTTTCTGTCGTTGTTCTGTTCTGTTGTTTTGTAGAAGTATTTAAATGACATCGATAAATACGTTTAAAAATATTTCTGGGTGCCGTCGTCGGAATTTTAAAAGTTTTTTCGATGGTCCAGGTTTCTTTTGTTAACGCCTCAAGAAGAGAGACCCATTTCTAAGGAAAAAAATATGTTTTAGGCATCTAATAAAAAGTACATATTGGTATATGTCAAAAATTCCGACCCCGAGGTCAATTATTGTCAAAATAAAATACATATGTATATATATTAAAACATTAAACCCTCTTAAATTAGAGCACCCCGTTAAAAACACTTTTAGTTTAACAAAATTTCAGACGTTTCAAGTTTAAAATGAACAATAAGAAATTAAACGACAATTCTAAGAAAATATTATTTTAATACCTTAATAGTATTATAAAATTAACTAGCATGTTACCCGCGGCTTCGCCCGCGGTAGACGTATACGTTATAAAAGACGCATAAGATGAAAGATTTTGGTAGCATATCTATCGTCACTCTCACAATAAACAAAATAAATAAGGATGCAAGAAAATGACCTCACTGCACCCATCAAAAACTTTCACTATACCTACAGGTTATAAAAACGTTAAATACGTAACATTATACAACTTACCTCTACATCTTCTTTGGTAAACAGTCTACAAACTATTATATTATTGTCTTTAAGTATATATTCATAACCCTCAGGTAATGCACGCATTTTTTTTTAATTATTAGCACACTAATAAACAAACACCAATCTACTTGTACAACACCACCGTAAACTAGGTTATTTTATCAACATGTTTCCCTTAAACAATCCGAAAGAATTCAACCTGTGCCGCGATACAATGACTTGTAAATAACAGACGTATTAGATGGACACGTCTGCTGGATACAAACGGTGTTCGTGCGTCCGGGACATGTACTGTTTTTCATCTTATTGAAGTTTATTAGTGATGGGTTCGTAAAAGTGAGGTTACTTTTCTTGCGTTACAGGTGTAGAAACCGTGCGTTTTGACCTCATTTAAGAACTGTTGAAACGGTATTTTTAACAAAATTAACATGAATAATAGTGATAGTGATGATAGCAGTGTTGAGGGCCTTCATGGCAGCAAGAAACGCAAAAGGGATGCGAAAACATGGAAAAACAACAAAAGAAAAATTGCTGCTCGTAAAGGTGAAGCATATATCTCCTCATCTGGTAAAAGAGTTGCTCCAAAAACATTTGGACCTCCATGCATGTAATCTATTTTTCTATTATAATTATCTAAAATAACGTATCATTTTCATTTTTTAAGGTGTAAGATGAAAAGCACGGACAAGTTTACTGATGAAGAAAAATCTATTTTTATTTCAAAATTGTATGACGGTAGACCAAAAAATGAATATGATACTGTTAGATTATATCTGTGGTTTATGCAGCGACATCTGTCCGATGTACTTAAACTGCTGTACTGGTGTTAATAAAATGTGCGATTACTTCCTTGTGAACTCGCAACAAGTAAACGTCGTTGTCGTTTTAATAGGTTATGGACCCAGGCCGCCATTGACCAGTAATTCGCGTGTTTGTTGTGTGTTTCTAAATATGTCGTCGTTCAGTATTTTATCTACTGTGCCAAAATTGAAAGGGAGAGAAAATTACAGCGATTGGACTTTCGCAGTAGGTAAGTAATTTTCTAGTGCTAGACGATTTGGAAGGGTGCATAGATGGCAAGTGCGAAGACGTGACGAAAATCGCGAAAGCTAAGGCGAAGTTAGTGTTATCTATCGACGCATCGCTTTACGTACACATTAAAGAAGCTAAGATGGCAAAGGAAGTGTGGGATAACACAGCTAGCCTCAAAAGAGAGCACGGTCCCTTTAGGAACAACCTCTCAGAGAAAGTTGAGGTACCGAGAGACGCTCAATTTTCCGGTACCACCTGCAACTGTGGAGAACTAGGTGGAACGTTTTTCGGAAGGTAAGGCGAAGGTACTGTGACTCCTTTTTTTTGTTGAGTTTGATGTTTTTTTCAGATTACGAGTATTTTACTTCAGCGGTAGAAGCTGATCGCATGCTTCTCTCCATGATAGCAGGTAATGTATACTTTGAAGTTGAATATAAATAATGTCTTTCTTACAGGTGACAAGTACTCAACATAGTGACAACGATTTACAACAAACATAAAAAAATGCAGAAAAGTTTAGTAAACCAAAGCGATGTTTTGTTTTCTGTAGAATCTACAGTCGTGCTGTTTGTTTCAGATTGGATTTACTTCAACGGACGCAAGTAATTCAGTGTCTCCAGTCAAGATATCAGGTAATTTGTATTTTGAAGTTGACTATAACAACTTTATCTTACAGGTAGTCTTTCAGCTAGAACGTCGCATAGTTTAAACCATATACAGGGTGTTACACGACCGTTCGAAAAAAAAAATCCGGTTGTAGAGGGCATCAAAACAAGCACTTTTTCCAAATAAACCGAGGGTCCAACGTGTTTCGTTTGGGAGCCACCCCCCAAAGAGTGTTGAAATCTGCATTTCTTCTTTAATTTTTTTCTCAGCACCCATAAGAGTTACAAAGTCGGGTGGCATGTCTTTGAATAGGTTTTTGGGTATGCTCTTTCCGATTTTGCAATTTTTTTTTCAAAATTCCTACCCCTAAAGGGCGCACTCCTAAACTAGGGTGCAAAAAAAATTCTGATTTCGACGAAATTTGGTATCTGGGGGTTTTTTAACATGAAAATCACGAATCTGAAATTAGTTTTTGAAAATTCGAAAAAAAAGTTCCACTGCAATTCTTGGCGGGACAACGAAAATAGAGATAATTCCACGAAATTTGTTGTGTACATACTAAACGAGTTAAGGAACAAAACAGTTTTTTAAAATAACTTTTCAAACAAAAGTTATACTCATTTGAATGTTGGTCCTTCGGGTCGCGAAGTGTCCCAAGCCTACTAGTAAGCCATAATTTCGCATGTGGTGGTTGACAATGTCGCAAAAACAAAAGATTAACGGTTTGAGTCGATATTTTGTTATTTGGAATTAATTCGGTCATTAAATGATTAAAAAATTCGATGTATTGATTAAAACACCTACCAAGGTATCTTAAAGCGCTGATCGATTATTTATTATCTAAATAAGGTAGGGGAAAAAGTCAAATCTCTTTCCGTATGATACTTTTTCACTATGATCAAAAATTTTCATAATCTTAGGTTGAAAAATAACTTCCAAAAGAACAAAAAAAAGATAATAAACAATCGATCAGCGCTTTAAGATACCTTGGTAGGTGTTTTAATCGATACATCGAATTTTTTAATCATTTAATTCCAAATAACAAAATATCGACTCAAACCGTTAATCTTTTGTTTTTGCGACATTGTCAACCAACACATGCGAAATTATGGCTTACTAGTAGGCTTGGGACACTTCGCGACCCGAAGGACCAACATTCAAATGAGTATAACTTTTGTTTGAAAAGTTATTTTAAAAAACTGTTCGACAGTTTTGTTCCTTAACTCGTTTAGTATGTACATAACAAATTTCGTGGAATTATCTCTATTTTCGTTGTCCCGCCAAGAATTGCAGTGGAACTTTTTTTTTCGAATTTTCAAAAACTAATTTCAGATTCGTGATGTTCATGTTAAAAAAACCCCAGATACCAAATTTCGTCGAAATCAGAATTTTTTTTTGCACCCTAGTTTAGGGGTGCGCCCTTTAGGGGTGCGCCCTTTAGGGGTAGGAATTTTGAAAAAAAAATTGCAAAATCGGAAAGAGCATACCCAAAAACCTATTCAAAGACATGCCACTCGACTTTGTAACTCTTATGGTTGCTGAGAAAAAAATTAAAGAAGAAATGCAGATTTCAACACTCTTTGGGGGGTGGCTCCCAAACGAAACACGTTGGACCCTCGGTTTATTTGGAAAAAGTGCTTGTTTTGATGCCCTCTACAACCCGATTTTTTTTTTCGAACGGTCGTGTAACACCCTGTATAACATTTTTGGGGGGAAAAAATGGACGGCATCAACAATTTAACAACATACTAAATAGTGTATATTTTATCTTTAATTAAATGTCAAATGTATTTATTTAACAAACATTTCTGTTAATTTGAACAAATAAAAAAAAATATTCTAAAAATGAACTTAATGAAATATGTAAGCAACAAACAAATATAAATAATCTAATATTTCTGTTTGCTTGTATAAATATTTTGAACAAAAACTTTTATCTTCAACCAATCTTTATTATGTAGAAGTTCTCCAGTTTCAGCTCTCAATTTCTCGCATTCAAGTCTCTTCGGGGGTATTTTGTTTTTAATATTGGTTTTAAAAAAATGTTTTAACTGCAGATCTTTGTTCTTCGGTCCATGGAACAAGTTCCCTTTTTCTCTTAGAAAATTTGTTGTCAGCTGCGGTACTTATACTCGGAATTTGTGCCGTCGACGTAGTTGTAGTAACATTTGCTTTACCCTCGGTAGGGTTTTCCATTTGGTTCGTTGGCTCGACAATTTCAAGCACTTCTTCCAATCCTTCATTTTCTTGATCAGATTTATCACAATCGACCACATCCTCCAAATCTACCTCAATTTCATCTAAGGACTTACCTTTGAACTGACCTGCTTCACCTTTCTCCATCAGCAACAGCAATTTCGACATCTTGGCCGTTTGATAGACGTCGTTTGGTAAGCGGTAAGAATTTCTGTGAGTACCCATCGTATGCCCCATAAAGTTAGCCAATTGTTCAATATCTGTTTTGCTCATGTTAAATATTTGGGTTAGGGTAGCCAAGTGGTTTCTTAGTCTAGTGGCAGTTATTGCTTTCGGGTTTTTGGCCCCGCACATTTTTGCATATTTTTCTAGAACCTTATAACCTGCTATGGGCGTTCCCACATTTCCCTTAGCAAACAAGTATGGATTATCACGGTTTACAAAATGTTGCCTAGATGATAATAACAGACGTATATGTTCTTGCACATCTTGACTAAATAGAACGGGGACGCCCCGATGTCTTTTTCCAGTAATTACAACTCTTTTAAATTTTTGCATTAATATTTGTTCAGTCGGTGAAACGGCTTCCGAAAATTCTTCGTAATTTTGCGCATTTTCGTTGTTAGATTCGTACAAATGTAAAGCAAACCTCTGTAACTCCCCAGGACGTCGACGATTTAATAACAAGACTCTACAAAATATGGTTTCGCTGCAAGTGCCTTGAGAAATTCAAAACAGACACATCTTTCTTGTTACTCAACAACTTCTGCGATGCTTCCTCCGCCTTATTGGATAAAAATTCTTTTATTAGTTTTAGATCACTTGCAAGTGGGATTATCGTAATCTTATTCCACTTTTGAAGGGCCAAGTTATTGGCCGCATGGTTTGATACATCGTATCTCCAATTTGATTCTAATAAGTGAATCATCGTTTTAAAATCTGCTTCAGCTTCAGCATGGTTGACATTTAGACCCAAATTCCGTTTTCTCAATAACAAATCAATTGCAATGTCACAACATTGTTTAAGCGAAGTACTAATATTCATAGCATATGTGGGGGAAATAAAGCAATCTTTTACGGCATCATACTTGGCAACAATCTTTGTAGCTTCCACATTCCACAAGCAAATCAAAATTTTGTGGCTTAAGTGCTTCGATTAAGTTTCGTACTGTGGGATTTAATTTTTTCATTTCTATAAGTAATTTTGATAATTCGCGCATCTTCCTAGAAGCAACGTTCACGAAATGTTTTTCGCGGTGTATTTTTATATAGCGAGCGCCAAATGCACATATTAACAAGTCTTTTTTTGCTACTAGGGATATTTGGTCTGCTCGCATATGTGGAAACACACTCTCTTTTAATTTAGCGTCTACTTGCATATACTTCACTAACATATTGTGAGCATCAATTTGCGGTGCAGTAGAGCATTTTTCTCCTTCACAGATTTTATGCCTCCATAGCTGCTTGGGAGCGTAAAACCCTAAACAATTGCTGCAAGGTAAGTACTCTGAAAAGTTTCTTATTTTTGTTTTTTTCATAGGTTTGAAACAGTCTTGCGAATTTTTTAGGTAGTTTCCTTTCTTTTTCAGAATCGTTAAATCTGCCTTTCTCTCTTTACTTTTTTGTGGAAATGAAAAAAATTTTTACACCTCGGTCTCGAGTGGATGGTTTCGCTGCAAGTGCCTTGAGAAATTCAAAACATATTCTTCGCAGAAGAAACAGAAATCTTTACGACGTTTGTAGACAGACTTTGCTTTCCCTCATTTTCGTCATCTAATTGATCATGAGCGGGCCTTACAACGACGTTTTGCAAGATATTTATTCTTTTTGCGCGAGAAGAGCTGGCGGCTGGCAGGGATCATGGCAGAATCCAAGTCATCGGAATCAGATGAAGATGATTCCTATAGAAATGTAATAATAGTTATTCGTACAACTAGTTTTGAAAGTAATACTTTCTTTCATGAATTTGCAGTTCGATTAACGAGGGCGAAACGTGTTGTACACGAAAATTTTTGCATTGCATATTTAATAACAATAAATTTAAGTATAACATACCTCTTTGATGTCATTATCCGAGGGATCAGTGCCAGTGTTACCATTATCAACTGAAGAAGATAAATCACAATTATTTGTTTATTTAATAGAACATTACGTATAAACTACTTACCTAGTGCTAAACTTAACAATTTCCTGCTTCTATGAGACATGATGCACTAAACACAACTTTCAACTGAAATGCTCAATTTTAAAATTTTGAACGTAACTCATACAAGACTTACAAACGGAAATTGTACGTGCGTTGTTGCCAATGGAAATCTACTAACTGACGCAAATTTAAATCCGCATTGAAAGTGAAAATATACGCAAAGCGTATTTATAAATTACATCCACGCTCCAAGCGACAAACCTCGAAAGTAGCATATACGTATACACAGTGCACTTTCGCATCAAATTTGACTCCGACAAAAAAAAGTAAGTATGACTCATACTAATGGTCACCGTCTAAGGGCCACATTTAACAAGGAACCCAATTTTGCGTCCATATATGGAAGCATTTTTGTAGTACCCGGACACAAAATTAAATGCAATTCACCTATTAGAGGAAGCAAAATTGACGGTAAGATATATATATATATATATATATATAATTATTTATATATATATAATTTATATAATGTGATAACTACGTGTTAGAAGCAACAAAAACACCGACTATAGAGTAATGACAAGCAAATTAAGTTCTACTTATGACATGGGAAGGCTTGAAATCCAAAAATCAATTGAACTCCCTTAAGATAACATAAGCAATTTTATTATAAGGGAGTTGTCTGTAGGTTCTATACATTGTTTTAAAATAATTTCTTGTAGTGGCCGTTAGGTTAAACCCCAAAATCACAAATGCTCTAGAACAAGACATTATCAAAGTTATTAAGTCATGGTTGCTACGTGCCAAGGAGA